GGGCTTCCCCGGCTGCGCTTCGCCCCTCGAACGAAGCCGTCACTCACCGCCATCCTCCTGCATCCCTAATTTATGGCCCCGATATTGGCTCGGCTTCTTCACATAAGCCTGAAAAATGAGCTCTTTTTATTCCTTTACTGAGTTAATTTAACTTTTTTTTTGTGTGTGTGTGTATGTCTGTGTGTTGTTCGCCCAGTCAGGAAGGGGGAGAGGAGTTTATACTCCTGAGAAAAAGACAGAGATATCGACTCAATATCTGCCAGTGGTCCCTCACCAGCCCTGCCCAGGGGCTGCTGTCAATGTCCCCATCACCTTGGAGGGGGCCCAGCTCAGGGGCTCCCCATCACAGCAACATGCCAAGGAGTTTGTGGGATCTCAGTCCCTGATCGATGTCCCACAGATTTCTTTTCTCTTCTCCCCACCCCAGCCGTAGCAGCTAATGAAATCTCAGGGCTCCGTGGGGCGGGCGGCCGGTGCCCGTCCCGCTGACAAAGGCACCTGTCTGCGTCCCTGCAGAGTGATGGCCCCGGCCCCAGCCAGGGCGAGAGGCACAAAAGCCCAGGGAGGTGATGCGGCCATTGTGGTGCTGCAATTAGCTCTTTGATTGATTAATGACCCCGTGTTATCAGCAGGGACCTTGGCTTGGTGGGGAGAAGGGGGGGCCCTGCGGACCTGGGGTGAGCAAACATAGAAATAGTTCCCTTGAGTTCCAGCTCACCACTTTTGGGGTACCACAGAGGTTGGGGCATGGGGAGGAGATGCCTCACTGCCTGTACCCCACATCTGATAGGGGTGATGGTATCACTCCCACATGCCACTGGGACCAGGTGTCTCTGTCCTGTGCCATGGGGTCCATGATGTCCCCCTCAGCTGGGCTGTCCCCAATCCATTTTTCAGTCCCACTTATTTTCCACCCAGCACTGACAAACGCCAGTGCTGAAACTGCCCTGACAGACAGCAGGGGGGATGCAGCCCTTTTCATTAGTGCTTACCCTGTAGGCATCAATCCCCCCTGGCCCACTGGCACCTTGGGGACACAGCCTGGGGTCACAGCCCCCAGCCCATGCACCCCTGGGTGCCCCACCAGCACTTGCACTGGCTCATAGGCACCGTTTCTCAGCCAGCTCCCAATAACCCCCTGGGATGCTGTCCCTGCCCTGCAGACCCTCTGCCCCCTTCCTCTTTGATACTCAGGTCCAAAATCCCCCACTCCTCCAACAGCCACATGCACACCCACACCCCTGCCCACCCTCCCTGGGGGGATGCCACCCACTAGGAGGAGGCACGGGACGGAGGGGACAGGAGGGATGAGGACAGCTGGACACGGAGGGATGAGGAGCAGCACTGGCAGGGAAGCATCGGGCTCCCTCCCTTCTCCCCATACCACCAGGCGCTTGTTTAATTAGCCCCAGCCCCAATGTTGAGGGAGTTAATTAGCTCTGGAGAAAGAGATAATGAAGCCTCAGCATAGCCCATGAATCTTTTTGCGGCTGGTGGATGCTGGGGGGTGGCAAGGCAGTGATGATGCTCTCACCAGCTCCCCACTGCCCTGCACCA